AAGCATCCCCACGCGAAGGGGTATGCTTGACTCTCGCCTCTTTTCCCCACAAAATATTATTAGGCGACGACGGAGAGCTGAGTGTGTGTCATGATTCGATACCCAAATAACGTATCTCCAACTGTTTCAGAAAGCTTTCATAACAGCGATGGCTAAAAGATATTACCAGGGCGACATCCTCAGGAACAGGAACACCAACGTTCTCATGCGATATTCAACCTATATCATCACATCTTTAAAAACCACTTTGTGATTGCTTCACAAAAATCACATCCGTTTAGCCTGAAGCTGTGGAACCCTGAAGATCCCCAAACCCCAAAGAGAACAAAAAGCGAAATCTCACAGCGAGCTCTCCCGGAGCTCCAACTGACCGGTTATCTATCAGGCGATCTCAGAATCTCGAAACTCAAATCTGGCAGCTCAACGGTTTATTCCCAAGAAATCAATCACTCGAAGCGAATTGCAATTGCGCCGCGCGCACCATTTTGGTTTTCTACCAGCCATATTATTGTTATTAACCCAATCAACCATATCGTGTGACCACTTCTCACAGAAGAACATAGAGGCTAGTTATATGCAGAAGCCCAAGCATAATTCATGCATCATGCAAGCCGCAGACACCACCTTGCTCCTCGGTCAAGGCGTCTATCCAATGAACCACCCCACGTCCCCGAGCTTTCTTTTGTCATTTGAATAAGAAATCTACAACATCCAAACAAAACGAGGAAGAAAGAAAAAACACCAAGAACAAAAAAGGAAAGAAACAAAATACATACATACTTCAAGTTACTGCAAGTATGTATGTCAAATTCACCAAGGAATCTTCTGATAGGTAATATACCTAGTTACAGATAAATAAATAAATTCTTTTTTTTTCTTTCTGGAAAATAAAATACTCCGATTCGAGAGAGATAGCGGTTTCCGTTGATGCAAGTTATATCGTAAAAGAACAGCCACAAGAAAACAATGGCTAGAGATAATGTACGGTGACAAAGCCTACGTATACTACGTATCTAGATATATGTATATGCGATGCAACAAGTTTTGCCTATTGCCAAACTCCCACCCCTCCTGAAGGGAGAGGAAAAAAACAAGAGGAGTGAAGCTTTCCCCCCTGGCCTTGATGTTGGCGACAGGTTGCAGTCAGGAATAAGCCGTCTTCGAGGATTTGTTATATTATTTTTTTTGATAGCTGAGAGTTACCAGAAACTTGAAAAGTAAGGCGACGCCTCCTCCTCTTCCCAAAAGAACCCCGAAGGTAAAAGCAGGCGAGAGCCGGTGTACCCGCCCCCGCCGCCCCCAGTGGGATTTTCGCATTCAGGAATGGATACTCGAGCTGAGCTTCTCGAAGCAGCTGACTTTGCATACATACGTACTTACATATACGAATGGGTTGGATTTGTGTTGAATTGTGTAATTCGATATAGTAAACAGAACCCCAATATATACTTAAGCGTATACCTGTCCTCCGCAAGAACAAAGGAAAGAAAGGCTGAATTCGGGTATTACCTTTTCCTTTACATTTACCTTTTAGTTGCGGATTTGACTAAAACAAGAAACACGGGATCTCTTGGGAAGGTTTTAAGGCGCATGGCATGTGGCTCGGTTTTGCCAGCTTTTGATACATAAGTAGATACCTCGACATCTGGAGTATTTGCTACGTACACCTCTTTTGCGTCGGCGCGGAGCGGAGTTTAGAAGAAGTGTAGTGATACAGGGCGGATTAAACAACCGGCGGTACGTACCAGCAGGAATATCGCCTAGCCGGTATACCGGTATTGGTATTTCGTCTATTGTTTCTATTAGGCCCCCCGGGGTACTATCGGTGTATATAATTTCTTAAGGAATGCAAATGACCGAGCCCGCCTGGTATGCAGTTAATTAATTGATTGTAATTGGGTTTTGTAAGAACCCCGGCGAGGGCGAGAGGTTGCGTCTGATATATGGCATGAATGAATTAATTGAACTTCGGGGAGGCCAAAGAGTAGATCGGTATAAAATCAAGATATCACAAGTTTGAAGTAGCCAAGATCAGACTTCGAGAGGCAAATATAGATTTTTCCTTCCGTGCAGAACAACTTAGCTATCAGTGGCAAAGCAGACCCTTGAACGAGTACAAAGCTAGAAGATCTAGAATTCAAAAAGGTCCTAGCTAGACTTGATGTTAAGATCCTTTGGCCAATATAATCAATCTATAGCTATCGTCAACAACGATCGAATTAGGAAATATTCAGGTTTTTGCAGATGTCGATAAAGAAATCCAGCAAAAGAGCAGAACGGAACAGAACAGAACAAAAAAAAATATTACCTAAAAACTCGAACGGCTGAAGCATGTCGAAACCTTTTTTAATGCACGTGTTAGCTGTCAAAATTTTGAAGCGCCCCGCTATTCCAATTGCAAAATGCGCCATACTTATCGATATAAAAAAAGATGCAGACTAGACTTGTGAGGGGTTTTTGAAACAAACAAGTCAGCTTCATCCCGCTAAAGCCCTCGACATTCGACGAACGGGATACTAGATCAAAAAAAAAAAAGCGATATGGTATCATCAGAATCACAAAAAGGAGTAGTAGCAGTAGCAGTATTTCTGCCAGCTCGACGTTCTCGCACTTTCTCCGAACCCCTCAAGGCATCTGCCCGCTGCTTACCGTACCCTCCTTCTTCTATAATTAATTATGGTGTATGTACATATCTTTTGGCGGCTCCACTAGACTACAACCGACTGATAAAGTAATACTGCAACCCGCTTAAAAAAAATCAAGCTTAATGCAACAACCAGGGGCATTTGCAGGTCGCCTTTTGCAGGTGCATTACATTTACACTTACATTTACATTGCAGCCTGCATCTTGCCTGGTTGCATGGTGCACCCGGGTTGGAGAACATGGGTTGCACGAGCCGTTCGACCTAGAATAACGGGAGAGGATAGTTATCGTACTCGTATACTTTTGAAGGCGAAGGGGAAAGGCACCAATGAAATAACGAGATTGGATTACGGAATTTTTGTTTGCTTGGTGGTGGGATATATCCGCCAATATAAAAATACAAACTTCTTATTGTAAATTTGTTAGTTAAGTTGAGTACTGATATAATTTACCTTCCGTCTGAAAATATTTTGGAGGCGGGATATATGCACCAAGTTCGGCTCGTGATTTCCATACATATCGTGCGTGTGCGGGAGAAGAGGGGTTTCAACCCGAACGCGAACTCGAATACAGTGTTTTTTTTTTTTTTTTTTTTTTTTTTTTTTTGATAATCGGTTCTACAAATATTTTTATTCGCGGGTTTTAGTCATTCGGGATCTTCCATCTTATGGTTTTCACCAAAGTGGTTCACAGTAAGTAGTGGTGTATGTTGTATTATATGTGCGATATGCTCTGCATGATATATGAGACTTTTATCGTTACAAGACTGAAGTGTGATTGATTGTTTTTTCCGACCAATAGCACTATCGTACGGCGGGCCAGTGGAAGAAGAATCATAAGTTACACATGTGATAAAGCTTGACGGGCTATGGCTGATATGTATATTACATGAGCTGAGATAGGAACGTTGGGAATCTGCCATCGGGGTTCGAAGCGAGGCCCGTCTAAAGGTTACGGGCCGCTCCCGTGCGTGATCTAATTATTGAGTACACTAGATGTACGGCGTTAGATAGGAATTCCTAGGCTATAGTGCTTATCAAGGTACAGTCCCGGGAGGCTAATACACGAGTTCAAATCAAAATATAATAACTTTATCTATGTCAGTACTCGTGCATCAATTACTCGTTATCTTCAAGAGGGTTATATGGCTATACACACAACATCGGGCAATTATATTATAGAGCCTTTGAAGATCCGGAACTAGAGATACCGGTTTCCCCCAAGGGAGGCAGAACGTATTTTAAATATTTGAATCAGTATCGGCAGCCGGCAAAGCTAGCTAATCCTAAAATCTCAACCTTACAACTTATAATCTTTTACAATCTGATTCATGGACTTTGATGTTCAGGAATTATAGTAACGCAGATTTACTTTTACATACTCCACATGCACACTCGCTCTGGTACTTCCACTTCTGTATTTGCTTTCAGAATTGGCAATACATACCAATCGGTCGCCTCCACTAGTTACCTATATCTCTACAGGCTAAGTTAAAATTAATAGCCATGTAAATGAAGAAAAGTTAATCGGCGAATTTGCGAGCCCGATATAAATATACCACATAAATTCTAATAACCGCACCGGACTAACCCCGAATCCCAATAACTTGAATATAGCTGTTAATTCACTCACAAACATACAGATCGTGTATCCAATTGATTCGAATGTGTGCGGTATATTATGAATGCACCCTTCATTTGTGGCTTTTTGGAAATTGGGCAGTGTTACACAAGCCTTTTCAAGCGATAAATTTGAGGTTGTAGTGGTAACTAATTAAACGCCACTTGCTAGTTGTAGATACGTTCGTTGAATCGTGGGTTCCAAAGCCCTCCGTGCGTGTGGAGGCCTTGTTTTTAGAACAGTGACGATTAAATTTGGTCTCTTTGTGTGGATTGTAGTTTAATTTGGTAACTTCAATTTTATCGTGCATGCATGTGTATGCGGCTAGTATATGTAATTTGCAATCATCCTTTGAGTCGAGTCTTGACGTACAGATAAATTTTAAAAGCGGATTAGAGAAATATGGCCTTTGACCTGGGCCTGGGAACTAGCTGAAACTAAATCGGAAGTCCGGTCCCGAATCTTCTGTTAAATCCTCTCGGGAAGATAGCCTGGGTACGAGACCACGTATAGCTATGTATTTCTATAATTATAAAAACCAATTCGTCGGAATGGCTATGCGTGGGATCCTCGAGGTCCAACGGTGATTCAGGTGAGAGAATATAAAAATAACAGGTCGAAGCGATATAAATTTGAATGCATATTAGTGGAGATTCTGAAATATTATTATATATAACTGTATCAATATAAAACTGGCTAAACCACGAGCGTCTGCCCGTGTGGATGTTCCTGTGCCTTAAACCGCCTGCAATTCAACCTGCTCCCTCGCCCCCGCCTCGTGCTCCCTAACCTCCTCCTCCCAAACCCTATCCACAACCTCTGTAATAATTGCAAAAGCATTCCTCAAATCCTGAACCTGTACCGCCGGCGCTCCACCCACAACTCTAATAGCCGTAATAGCCTCCTCGCCTTTCCCCAAAACCGTCTGCGTAATAAATATTTTCCCTTCCTTATTAACCCTATCCCCAACCTTCCTCGTAACCTCATTACACCTCCTCTCAAACTCCTTTTTATCATTCTCAACTTCCTTTGCTAGCTTTGGTGGAGGATTCACACGGAATACGTTTAACGCGAACGCAGGTTTTGAAACAAGTTCATACCGCTCTTTATCAGCCTCCAATAACTGCGTAAAGGCTTCACCACCTGCGATGCCATTTCTAACATGTGCTCTAAGTCCTTCGACTCCGAAAGTACGAGTCACGAACCACGCTTTAAGACTTCTAAACCTCCTACCCAATGGGATTTGCCAGTCTCTGTAGTCGGTGACTAACCCGCGGTCACTGTATTCGTTACGTAGGTAGGCCGGGGTAATACTTAGGGCGTCGATAAGGTCTCGACGACGTTTGACGTATAGACAGCTGCAGTCGAAGTTGGTGAGTAACCATTTATGCATGTTGAAGTCGAAGGAATCGGCGAAAGTGGGGAAGATGCTGGGGATGTGGGAGTATTCTGGTAATACTAGAGCTGCACCGGCGTAGGCGGCGTCAATGTGAGCCCAGATTTTGGGAGTAGTGGGGTGGGTGGTGTGGTATGTTGAGAGGGTGGCGGAGATAGAGGCGAAGTCGTCGGTTGCGCACGTTGGGGTCGTTCCTGGAGGTTAAATCGATTAAATCAGTACTGTGACCAGAGGATATATAACCATATATATATCTTGTAGTAAATAGTGAGGGGGAGACAAAGCGAGGGGGGAATAATACTCACCGAGAGTAACAGTGATATAAAACGGCACTAAGCCTTTACTTTCTAAATCCTCGATCTTTTGCTTCACTAACTCGCCATTGAGGGCATAGTCTCCAATCTTGGTTTCGATAGTCTGAAACCTAACACCCGCAATAATCGCCCCTTTCTTCGTAGAACTGTGCGCCTGGTCACTCCCTAACGCTACCATCCTCCCTCTTAACGTACACACTTTATCTTCAATTTCATCTTCACTAAGACCTTCTTCTGCCCATCTTTCCTTGCTTCTGGCAATGTATCTGTCCCGTGCCGCTACTATAACCGTAACAATGGCTTCTGATGCTGTGCCGTGGATTACACCACCGCCTTCGCTGGTGGAGTGGTATTCTTCTGGCAGGTTGATTAATTTGGCAACATTGTCTAGGACGATTGTTTCCAGCTCTGTGACTGCGGGTGAACATTGCCAGTTGAAGGCAGCACATGAGAATGCAGCGGAGTACATGTCACCCAAGATACCGGGGAAAGACGAGTTGGATGGGAAGAATGCGAGGAAGTTGGGAGATTGCCTATATTATTCATTCATTATAAGATAGAGTTAGTAAACTTTTGGTTCATCCTCTCAATATATTCAGTGATTTTATTGTATTGTATTGTATTGTATTGTATTGTATTTTATTTTGTATTATGTTTAGAAGTGAATGTAACTTACCAATGTGTCATCCCAGGCATGATCTTTGCCTCAATATCCTTTTGGATATCTTCCCATTTCTCACCGGTCTCTGGGATTCCCTGTGGGAGTAGTTGACGGAGATACCCGGGCTCGACATCGGAGAGTACTCTTCTATCGCGAATGTTATCGTAATAATCGACGACTTTTAAATATTTTCAAATTTTTATAAAGTTAGTCCCATGTCAGATCCCACGAAACTGTTTAAACGGTAAAAAACAAATAAAAGATAGTAGTAATAACTGAAGTGGATATGAACTCCCGGAAACCGGGGAACCAGGGTTGGGTGAAAGGATATCAAAAGAGGACAAACTTTGATCGATAGCCGCATGCGCAGCCTGTCTAAATTGCGAAGAATCCATGGCTCCGGGATTTCTTAAGTCGTTTTATAATTTATTCCTTTTCCGAGGGAGTTATTAATATCTTTTGGAATGTTGTGTGGGAGGGAAGGAAACGGTTCTAGTTGGTTGGAATAACTATTGCAGAAAAATATGCGCAGCGGTGACGTCCAGCTCGCTAACTTCGAATTGATCGGATCCGGATAGTTAAGTAGCTAGCTTTTGATGCAGAAATTATCGATTAGGAACGATTGATGTTTTTACGTGCCTTTATAACGTAGTACCGTTGAATTCGAAGACAATGGGACGGCTATCGAGGGCTCCAATTCTATATGATAAGGTAAGAAAGTTCCTCGGTGTTCTCCAGATCCTTCACTCGTTATCACAGGCCCGGGACGGGTTAACGGCAAGTCTAATCGAGAGCTCTGTTCGGCCGTAGCTACCTAGCTAGCTGTTCGCTAGTCTCCACTTCAATAGACCGAGTTAAAGCTGTTCTGGCGGATTAATTAAGGTTATCGACGGATTGTCATGGTCAATTGTATTTTATTCTTCACTGTGTCTATTTTACTGGGGAAATTTAAAACATCTCGGAGGTTTATAGATATCCATATCTATCCGTATGATATCATATCATATCATGAGTTCAATCGAGGTCGTACTGTACTACAGCTCAATCTATCACGACAATCAGAAAAGTCGGAACAAACAAAAGGACAGCTAAGAAGCTCTTATCCGAAATCGGGCCGTCGCATGATACCCATCACACGCCCACAAAAAAACAAGCCGAACAGAAAAAAGGTGCTGCAATCAATAAACTCTTTGAAATCAAGGGAATCCATGTCATCCTGAAACACCACAGCGACGTCTTATTGGTCCACTCAAACAGGAAATTCTCAAATGTGTTGTTTTTGCGGTGTGTAACATGAGATTTTGAGGGGGGAAAGCTCGACGTGAAGTTCAAGTGAGAGTTGGAGATTTAAAATATTTGTATGAGAAGTATTGAAATTTTCTATAAAAAATCGGATATTCTGGAAGTTTGGATATGAAAGGACCTTCGTTTTGAAGTAGACCCTGGTTTGTCCAGTGAATTTGGTGAAATTTTCGTGATATCGTGGAAATATATGGGATTCAAACCTCCGGAAAGAAGCTTCCTCGACACCACAGTTTACAACAATACCCCGCTTGAGAAAATGGGCTGCGAATGGGATATTAGATAATCACTAGATCCTCTTGAGGGTATAAAAAGAGTAAGAAGAGTCTTTCCATCTTGTTACTACTTGATCCTTTCTAAATATTCTGTCTATTGAATTATCTTTTTGATTACTCTATTCTGAAGTGTTTTGTATTTGACTTCCGCAGAACTCAACCTCCTTTTTTTCTAAATTCTCCTCTCTGAGAAAATTATTCGAACAGACTACTCCCAGAGCTTTGAAGTCAGTCATTACCCCTTCCCTCTTCTTAGAAAATCTATAAAACTTCTATCCCGCTGATATTTTACGGGTATTCATATACATATGATTAGTTTCCTTCTCTTTCATCAATTTTTAACTTCTTCAACCTTACGAGAATTCGACGTGAAAATTTCCACTTCGGCCCCTAAAATGCCACCAAGGTATTCCTCACCCCCTTCTTCTCTATATCTACTATGGATAATACCCATGCATCACTGCTTCTCTATCATATACATATATACTCACCTTATCCCTTTTAATTAACAAAACTTAGTTACATCCTAACCACCGGCGCAACTGGCTTCATCGGCGCACACGTCGTCTCCCACCTCCTATCTAAGGGCATTCGAGTCCGTGGTACCTACCGTTCCCAAAAGAAAGTCGATGTGATTGTTTCCCATTTCCGTACCCTTTATGGGGATAAAGTCGATACCCTCCTTGACTTTGTCTATACGGGAGATCTTGCGGCACCTGGATGTTTTGACGAGGCTCTAAAGGGGGGTATTGATGCGGTTATTCATTGTGCTAGTGTTAGTATATACCACTTACCCTTCTTCTTCTTCTTCTTCTTCTTCTTCTTCTTCTTCTTCTTCTTCTTCTTCTTCTTCTTCTTCTTCTTCTTCTTCTTCATGTCAAGATATTATACTATATTATACTATCTGCTATTGCTCATATTAGAATAGCCTTCAATACTAACGTGAATTAATATATACGTGTATAGCCACTAAACTTCACCCTGACACCCTCCGAAATCATCAACCCCGCCATTTCCGGTACAAAGTCTCTATTGGCATCAATAACCGCTACCCCTTCCGTTCAAAAACTCGTGGTCCTATCATCCTTCGCCGCAGTTGTAGACGAGTTTAACAAAGGACTAGGTCCCGACGTCGAATACACTGCTAACGATTGGAACCCAATCACTTACGAACAAGGGATGTCTGAACTAAGGTATTCTTATCTAGCTTCTAAGGCGTTAAGTGAGAAGCAGGTTTGGGAATGGAAGGGGAAAGAAGAGGAAGGTGGAAGGGTTGGGGTTGTTAGTTTGTGTCCGCCTTTGGTGGTAAGTACTTACCTACTGTCCTTCTTATGTCTATATATTCCTATATGTTTTGTGGGAGAAGAGAGGTTTTGTTGACTTGAAAGGGATTATCCGATGGTGTAGTTCGGACCGATAGCTCATCCGGTGGAAAAGATCTCGGAGCTGAATAGTAGTAATGCGGAGTTATGGTTTTTGACGACGGGGTTTAGTCCATTGCCTTTATCTCCCGTTCCTGCATGGTATGTATTTTCTATCTATTCCTACCTACACCTCCCCTCAACTATATTTTAATGGTTACATATATTAATATAATATACTACAGGGTCTCAATCCACGACTTAACCACCGCGCTGGTTAATGCCGCGATAGATGATTCAATCACTAATAAAAGGTATACCATCGCCTCACCACAACCATTCTCTTCCCAACTTGCCGCAGACTCGTTTAGAGAGTTGTTCGAGTGGGCGAAGGAAAGGGTTACTGAGGGTGAGCCGGGTAAGTACCCCGACGTTAGTAAGTTGGAAGGAGATATTGCGAAGAAAGAGTTATTGGGTGGGAAGGAGTATGTTGGGTGGAAGGAGACGCTCTTGGAGGCTGTGGAACAGTTTAAGAAGATTGAAGATGCTGAGAAGGATAAGACTAAATGAAACTATCACGGTTTGTAGACTGGATATCGTAGAGAAACAGAGAGAGATGGGATGTTTTGCTGTTAAGATAGTCAATGACCTTCAAATCCTTCATTCTAAAAGAACCTGATATACTTCTCCATATATAAACACGCAAAATAGGAATAAAACGCCTCCGGAACGCCCTTCCGACTAACATAAAATCGTTTTCTTACTATATCAACTCCACATCCCCCCTCTTCACGGCCTCCTGTACCGCCGAATACCTGATAACATATACATCCCCGGCCCTCATGTCTAGCGTCTCTCCGTTTTCCCATGCAATAGCAACGTTCACATCTCGCACAACTCTTAAGAACACCGCGCCTTCCAAGTCGGGTTCCTCAACCATCGATAGACCACCGGCCGAATCGTCAAGTCTTTTTAGATTGTCCGGGAAGTTTTTGAGAAATGAAGAGAGGTAGAGTTCGTTTAATAGGGCTTGATGTGTTCGAAGGTATGTTTGTTCGGAGGGGGAGAGAAGGTGACGGATTGATGGGGTTGATAAGATGTGGAGGGCGTGTTTATCGATCTAGTTCAATTTTAAAGTTAATACAAATGGAAGAAGCATTTGTGATGAAATCAAGGAGATTTTACCTTCGATATCCTCGTCCTTAGGTAAGATCTTATCAGAAATTTCACACGCTCGAGTTCGGTTTGAACGATAATCAACTGAAAGTTTGCGCGGGGGTCTAGATTCCCTGTTTGATCTTCTATTTGTTCGATCTGTAATGATTTTTGAAAAGAAGAGTAGATTAAGAAGGTAGTGACTAAGGATTAGTTAGCTGAAATCGTACCTCTGAGGGTAAAAATATTATCCGATCAAGGTAGGGAGAGAGAGAGGGTGTTAAGTACCTGTCTTCGAACTCTTGTCATGATACGTTCCACCAGATCTTCCTGACACTGTAGGATTTCAGGCGCAGCTCGTTCATTGATCCACCATTTGAGAAGGTCATCGTAGTCTTTTGCATTCGAGGGAGCATTCTGAGAGTCGAATTCGCGGAGGATATCGTCGATGTCTTCCATTGTTGAGTACTAAGTACCTACGAGGGGGGTTGTAGCTTGGAGGTGTCCGGAGTAAGTTGTGGGGAAGGGAAAAAAGAGGTTTCTGTTGTTGGCGGAGGCGATTTGGCCGAGTCTTGGCGTTTCTGTCGCGGGTATTCCGTCACTCCTCCTTAGACGCTCTCGGACAGACCAACAATCACCAACCCATCGCCACCATCGCCATCACCACCCATCGCTTCGGACCACCCTGTCCAATCCGACCGACCCCCGACCATCGCTGGTGCCGTCCAGGGAGTCATCACTATCTACCGGACCGTTACTCAATCGACCGATAAGAAGTCTCGAAATTCTGGCTGGGACACGCGAACTGATGGCACCGGATATCATGGGCCTCGGCCCGCCATCCAAGAAACGCAGGGTATCGCCCGACGGCGAGGCGGCAGCAGCAGGATCCGCGGATTCCACACGGACGTTATCATCACAATCCCAGCTTTCTGCTTCTCGAAGGAAGAAGTTACCACCGATAGCAAGACAGCATATGCCAGTTGATGCTGCTGCTACCATGCCGCCCAGTATTGTGGATCCGTTGTTGGAACAGTCAATCGCGTTGGTACTCAAGACGTATGATTTTGATGGAGCGACAAAGGTTGCTTTGAATCAGATACGGCAGATGGCTGGACAATGTAATTTCTTCTCCTTCTTCTTCTCCTTTTCAATCGCTGCTCCAGAATAGGGCGACAGAAAGATTGATTGAAAGGAGGGATGGCTAATTAATTGAATGTTCTGGATAAAAAACAGTCCTGCAAGACATCACTACGAAAACCATGACATACTGCGCTTCACAACGCCGAACGCGTCCCACAATCACCGATTTCGAAGAAACTCTCGGTTTATCTGGTTATACCGCGGCCGACCTCGAAGATGAAATCACTCGCTACAGGAGATCGCAAACCTCCTCCTCCTCCACCACCCCCCACCCAGACACAAAGAAGGAATCTGCAATACCGGCTCTCACAAACGGCACAAAGAAAACTTTACCCAAACCCCATATATACAAACTACCAAATCCGGACCCCGCACTACCAGAAGAGCCCTCGCTTATCGACCTCCTCGGTCCGGAACTACTGAAACCTCGGAAACGATACAAACTACCCCCTCCACCCCGCCCTTCGTACATGGCACAGCTCGAACAGGCCAACCCGAATAATCCGAAATTTGTGGCACAGACCAAACCCACGATTACTGTACAAACCGAGAGACCGTATATCGACCCCCACCAGCCTGCTTGGCCTGGTAAACATACCTACGAACACCACGAAGAGGTTCTAGAGGTTGTCAGGGATGCGAAGAAGTTGAGAGAGCTGGCTAGCGAGGAGGCACGACAGAGTGGAGAGACGCTTAGAAAGCTATTGGCGGAATTTAGTAAAGCCTCTACGGCGACTAGGAACCGAGGCGAGACAAATGGTGGGTCGGCTAAGAAGAGTGGATCCGAGATCTACAAGGGAGGGAATGCAAGACGGAAGAGAGATGAGATGTTTGAGAAGACTTGGATGAATGTTATCAAATCTATCGAAGCGGAGAAGGATAAAGCCAAGGCAGAGTTAGAAGAGAAGAGACGCCAGAAGAAGGAAAAGCGAGAACAAGCCAGGAACGGTGCGGCTAACGGGCTGTTCAATGGAGGTAATCTGATGGAGATTGACTTCGATGAGGAAAGTAGCGACGATGAAGCCGCAGAGGCAGTAGAGAAGGAGACACAGATCGATGAGAAGGGACTGTTGGATACGGTGGTTAATTGTGAGAAAGCATTATTTGCGAAGGGAGCGATGCGGAGAGTGATGTTCCGCTGAAAGAAGAGCACTCGGCCATCGGCCTGTTATTCCATTCCATTTTCATTTTGCGGTACCATTTTAGCGGGAGTCGGGTTCTTATTTGGATCTTTCTTTTTTGCATATCTGCAATTGTATTGTATCTACCCAGTCTTATTACTATTACTACTGCTATTACTATTATAGCTTGCCAGAGGTGTAATATAAATATTCGATGACGAAGCCTCGAAAATGACGGCGATGGGATTTATGGATGTAGGAGGCTCTTCGAGATAAATTTCATCGATTAAGCCACACAACATTCCTCTGCTTCCAATTCTGTCTAAGATTCTTAGCTATCTGGACAGATCTCTGAAGCACCCCAAAGATGAAGAACCCGGCAAACCAGGCGCCCAAGAAGCATCCAAGGATAATTCCAAACCTCTCACCATCCGACCATTTTCTCCACCACCTTTCAGCCGGTGAATAATCCGGAGCGAAGGACTCAGGATCGGGGATCGATGAGGAAATAGTATTCCAGGGAGGATAAGTGCCACAACCGAGGGGACCTTTGATGAAGTCGATGATTTTGGCACGGTTATCGTGACCGCAGAGGAAGGAACATTGGAGACCGGTTGTTAGAGGGAGGATGTAGGGGTTATTGCAGAAACAGCGGTTGTAGGCTGTGATATTTTCGAAGGATGAGGAATCAGGAAAGAGAGAAGAACAGTAGCGAGAGGAGAGGATGATGGGGATGCAGTCGTTGGTGCAGAGCGGATTTGTGGAGAACTGGAAGGGGACGGGGAGGGGATTTAGTGCCTCTATCGATGAAGCCGACATTGTTAGTGGTGATGATAATATTAATGATGATGATGATGATGATGATTAAAAGAAGATGAACTGGTCATTGTTCTTCAATTTATCAACCCATCCACCTTCCACCGGCATCCTGTTCAGACAAATAAATAGGCAGATGTCCAGAAGATATGATCCGACGGGATTATAATTAATCTGAGGCTCAGCTCAGCCTTGCGATCAACGTTGTGCGATGGATGGACTGAATTCTTGGCTGGCTGGTTATCAGCCGATTAAGTAACAATGACACACTTTCGGTTCAGTGTTCAGTTCAGACACGCGATTCCCATTGTCGCTCGCTACTACTTACCAGCTCTAATAACCTTAAAAAAGAAGACAACCGAAGACGACGAAGACACGACGATGACGACGATGCCACAGCCTTCGTCTTCGTCTTCGTCCTCACCGACCGACCGAAAGGGAAATAAACAGGAAGACCGTCCGATTGTCAAGATGGATCCCTTGCTCAGAGACGACTTTCAGCTGTACCTCCGGGTCGCTTTGTTACTGTCGATATCAGTATACACTGCAATCAAAGTCAATTCTGTCGTCGTGGACCCGTACCTCGTATGTTCTCCAATTCTTTCTATCCATTCTTCTCCTATAGTTTGATTCTTGGATAGTAAATTAAATATATATGGGCGATGGCTGACGGTCGTTGATAAGGATGAAGTCTTTCACATCCCTCAAGCACAGCGTTACTGTCTGATGCACTTCAAGGACTGGGACGATAAGATCACCACTCCACCGGGACTGTATGTTTCTCTCTAACCTCCTCAATTCTTTTTTATTTTTATTTTTATTTTTATTTTTATTCTTAAAGTGAATATATATCTCTAACTTCATTTTGATATAATCGATAGATATCTGCTGTCGTATGTTTATGTCGGCTTCGTTCAGACAATTCTCCCAATATACCGTTTCATCCTCCAAAACATCCCGACCTTCTCAACCACCCCGACGGGATGGGAGACAAAACCCGGTGCCACCAGTAGCTTCACACATGCATCGCTCGAACACTGCTCTACCGTCTCTCTTCGCTTCCTAAATGTCATCGGTGGCTCTATCTTTGTCCCGTGGCTGGTCTATGAGATTTATCTATACGTCCAGTCTCCGTACCACCAGGTCATCCCGCCACCCATTCCCGTAGTGGTAGTCGCAGGTCCCGGACCAGGTGGGTCATTGGCAGACCCCAAGGAAGTCGAGAAAGCGAAGAGAAAGACCGAACTTCCTCCTGGAGTTGGACCGAAAGAACCTATGCCTAAAGTCGATGTTATCGAGGAGAGGCTGAACTATGAAGCTTCGGCGGCACAGACAGCTATGAATGTGGCTTTGTTCCCCCTATTATATTTCTTCAATAGTCTGTTTTATACGGATATTTGGTCGACTGTGTTTGTGCTTTTGGCATATCGTAGTTATCTATTATATTCACCATGGGCGAGTGCTGGCGTAAGTTCTGTGTCTTTTGTATCAAATATAATAATAACTTGGAATTATTACTGACTGTGGTATAACAGTGGTCGCTGGTCTCCCTCTTCTTCCGTCAAACTAATATCCTCTGGACGATATTTCTCGTTCTACTTTCTGCGATCCGAATCCTCAAACGTCTTCATCCACCAGCTCCATCGTCTCTACTAAATCACCACCCATTAACTCTCTCTGCAATTCTAGGTCGTGCAGGCTATGGTGGGATGTATGACCCTTCGATTATTCACTCTGATGTCTCCGACTACTTCAAATCACTCCTCTCAATTGCGATCTCTGGGTATAGCAACCTATCCCCCGTTCTTATCGCCATTGAGCCATACATCTATGTTGTCAGTCTGTTCGGATTCTTCGTCTACTGGAATGGTTCCATCGCCCTTGGGGATAAAACGAACCATGTTAGCACCTTCCACCCTGTCCAACTCTTCTACTTCTCCCTCTTTACCCTTCTCAGCACTCCCTTCGTATTCCTCACAAACCCTATCAATCTCATCATAACCACTGTAAAATCCCTACTCGGATCTCCATTGAAAGCTATCAGCACCATAACGGCAAGTTTATTAATCGCGGGTGCGGTTCACCAATTCACATATACCCACCCCTTCATGCTAGCAGACAATAGGCACTACGTCTTCTACATCTGGCGACGGACGATTCTCTCTCACCGAGACGCCAAATACCTGGGGATCCCACTCTACCTCCTCTCCAGTTTCTTCGTGTATCGTCAAATAGGGGTGAAACCACCAGCTCTCCCACCATCCATCAAATCTATCAATCCGCAAAGTTCGGCAGTGGTTTATACTACGCATACTATAACTTTCCTATTGGCGTTCCTTGCTGCCACGGCGGGGACGTTGGTGTTCGCACCGCTCGTGGAGTTTAGGTACTTTGTGGTACCGTGGGTTATGTGGAGAGTACATATTGGAGTTGGAGGTGGGAAAGAAGAGGAAGGCGGGTGGTGGAGGAGGAATAGAATTGGAGGAGTTGATTTGAGGGTTTGGATGGAGACAGTAGCGTTTTTGGGGGTGCATGCTATTACTACTAAGATATTCTTGGAGAGGGAGTTTAGGTGGGCGGGGACACCGGGGGTGCAGAGGTTTATGTGGTAGTTCTTTTCCCTTTCCTTTCCTTTCCTTTCCTTTCCCTTTCCCTCCTCCTCTTCTTTTTTATACGAGTTTTTGAGTACCTGTGAAGCACGAAAGCGATACCTATTTGAGTATGTAGGGAATGAATTGAGAGTTCTTCAGAACGCCTCGGGATTATATATATACATGAAGGGCGTAAAAGTTAATAGGAAGCGTAATAATATAGACTGTTTACTTGAATAAACTTAGGAGTTATGTACAATTGTTTCCTCATGCATGGAGTAAGACCGGTGTTCTACTGTTTTGCCTCTGGCTCAGTATCCTCATGATCACGCTGTCCCTCCTCAGGCTCAACCGCTTCATTAACCTCCTCCACGATATCTGAGCTAGAAGCCCCATCCAATCCCGCAGTTCCTTCAACGTTATTACCCTTTGGAAAAAACCTCTCATCAGCCAATAACAGTTTCTTATTAACTTTCCCCATGGCATTTCTAGGTATAGCATCCGTAATAATCCATCGTCTTGGTAACTTCTCTTCACTTAATTTTTCTCTCATTCTTTTTCTTAGACTGTTTATGAATTCCCTTTTATACTCTTTCCCTTCCGCTTCTTTGCCCGCAGTGGAGTTTAATTTTGTTGCATATTCGGGTTTTAGAGCTATTATGGCATGGGGGATATCACCAAATTTTTGGGATTTGACACCGACGACTGCGACTTCTGAGATTTCGGGGAGAGTTAGGATTTCTCGCTCGATTTCGAGGGCGGAGGTTAGGTGGCCTGCTACTTTTAGGACTGATTTTTTTGATTTTTATAGTTAGCCAATATCATTCCAGTTGAAGAGTGTGATCGTAGAAGAGGAGAACATACTATCCACACTCTCCCTCCCCAACATATAATACTCCCCATCATCCCCTCTAATCGCCATATCCCCCGTTCTAAACCAATGATCCTTAACCTTCTGTCTAACCGGTTTATCCCCCCTTTTCAACTTCATAGTCTTCATGACTACCTTCCCATCTTCAATTTTTTGTATCGCTTGTGGGGCGACCTGTTCAGGTTTTACCCTGGCTCTATTAGTAGCCTTTATATCGTTCCAATATTTATGAAATAATTGACTTTCGCTGTGCCAACGAACGACCAATTTCCCGGGGACGTTGGAGACCATTATTAATCGATCATTAGGGTCGACTAGATGTGCGTGAACACCTGGCATCGGATAACCCACTGAACCGAGTTTTCGGAGTGATGGATCAAGGGAGTTCGAGAATACCATTCCGGTTTCTGTCATGCCATATCGCTCTAATGGTAGAGTCCCCGTTATTTCTTCCCATTTTTTAGCGATGGGGACAGGTAATGCAGCTGATCCACAGACGGCTACTCTAAGTCCCTTTAAACCCTTTGCTACTTTTTCCTTTTGGAAGGAGTCGTAGGACTCGTAGGCTGAGATGAAGGCTGAATACATTGTTGGAACGCCGTGGAACATTGTTATTGGTGGAAAGTCTACTGATGGGGGTTGGGAGATTCGGTGGAGGACTTTGTGGGCGTTGAAGGGTTGGGAGATGAATTCTATTGCGCTGCCGGCGGTTAGGGGGGTAAGAAGGCAGTTTGAGAGACCGTGGATGTGGTGGGTTGGGAGGACGTGGAGGAGACGGTCTTCTTCGGTGTATTCCCAGAGATTGCGGAGGGAGGTACATTGTTGGGAGATGGAGGAGGCATCGGTGAAGACTGCTTTCTATATATTTTGAAGATTAGATATGGGGGAGTGGAAGATGATGAGAAAGTGGATGGCATACGGGGTTCCCGGTTGTGCCGGACGTGAATAAGATTGTTCCTTGCTTTGTTTTGGGAATTTCTAGCAAGTATTCTTGTGATAGTTGATTTTCACCTAAGGGTCTTAAATCCTTCCATGATTCCAATTCATCGTTTGCGAAGAGTTTGTATTCTGGATGGTCTTTGATGAAGTTTTGAATCCATTGCTGATGTTTGAAGAATTTGGAAGGGGGGATGAGGAACTCTGTCTTTGCGGTTTCCATAAGATTTGAGATTTCAGCTGGTTTGGAGGTATTAGAGATCAGGACGGGGCGGATGCCCATGGAGAATAATGTGAGAAGGTTGACTATCCATGATTGTTAGTAACGTCTTTGAGGTATAAGATGCATTTGAATGGGCGTGAGGGAGCCATGTGGGACAATATCTTGAAATCTACCATACGACATCCTCACTTCCCAATCTACCACCACCACCGCCACTGGAAGGAATAAAACCGAAAGAAAGCCCACCTACAAACTCATAGCTTCGATCTGCCATCAAACCGACGCTAAACCCCCTTTCGATATCAAATCCCCTAAACTTCGTTTCAATCTCTGGAATCTTCAACCAATTCCTCCTAGTCCCATAAACATCTGTCCCAAGCTTTCGATAACTATAACTCCTCGATTCATTTGTGTCAAAATCATGTCGTTCGGTTACTGCCGGATAGTCCGAGTGGTCCATAGAGGTTATATTCTCCAGGACTCGGATTAGGTAGTTATTGTTGTAGGGAACGCCGGGACAGTCGTCCCATATGTTGTGCACTACCCGGCGGCCTATGTCTTGTATTCTTGAGACGGTACCGGGGCCCCTCTCGGTGTATGGATGGACTATCCGTGTAGGATTTTATTGTCAACATTTGTGCATTGCAGGACTGGCAGCAGTTGATAATGAGTTCGTACTGTGGAATGCATTCCGGGTCAGGAGGTTCCTTGCGAGCCTCATCGTGATGGGACGGGGTGACGAGAGCAAGTCCAAGTGTCGTATCTAGTACGGACCTCACTCTCGTCGATATCGATAGTGGGATATCAGCCGTTGAACAGTTAAACTTTTTTGATATTTGATCTGGATAGACAGAAGTTAGTGAATGAATATTCATATGCAAAAGTAAATTAGATTGGATGGAAAACTAACCAATTGCCGATACGATATACAACCATCTTCCTTAACGTCCCGGGAACGATGTCTTGTTTTTTCAATGTTGGTGTTTGGGAAGAGAAGAAGTTGTGTTGGGTGAAGGCTTCGAGGCGAAGCTTTGACTTGTGCGACTCATTTCATCCCATTCGAATTCCTGGTACTCTTCCCTCTTTCTTCTTCCTCTTCACCTTTCTCCATCGAATCACCATCATCGCTACTACTAACCTCATTCAACTTGAACGACATCACGAAGGAAGCTCTCCACGATGGCCGACTACTCTTCATCTACTACACAGAGCCAGGCGCTCATCCGTCGGTCGACCGATACACAGCTCATGCCGCCACCTCCTGCAAAGCGTATCAAACGCCCTCCAAAGGTCCTCGACGAAGACAGCTACACGACAGCAATAGTACGTATACCTCCTGCCTACCTCTCCCACCCTATGATACTATGCTCAAAATACTCCCGATATATAGTTTACTAAAACAACGATGCTTTCTTACTTGCTAGTCTGACATCATCGCCCGCGACTTCTTCCCTGGCCTTACAGAAGCAAAACATCAAGAAGAATACCTCGACGCTCTCGCGTCAAACGATAAAGAATGGATCGCCTCTGCTGGACGGAAGCTCTCGGAGGTTATGACGGGATCGAGGGTAAAGCACCGACATAGTACTCCATCTTTACGATCAATGGCAGTCGATGCGACACCTTCGGCGCGTGGATTCGATACACCGATGAGCACACGCGATGACATGAGTATCACAAGTGCCTCAAGTTCAAACCCAATGCAGAAAACCTATGAAGATAAACTATCGCTCGATAATTTCCAATCGAAGTATACATCCGAGGATAATGCCAGTTTCAACGACCTCCTCGACGACCAGAACCAAAAGCGACGGGATGAGTACGGTTGGCTCTGGCGGGGGAATCAAATCTCGAAACCTTCCGTGATCGCTGAAAGGGAACGACAAAAACTATTAAAGGAGAAAGAAGAAAGGGAAGGTGTTGACAAAACAAAGTTATTGGAATATCAGGATAAACCAGCAATGCCAGAGACTTGGAAAGTTAATCCGAGGAACGGATTCATGTTTACACCCGCAAATTTGGACGATGCAATGTTGGATCCTGACCTTAACCCTGCTACGAATACGGAATCCAGAGCGGCACCGAAGGGTATATCTCATGCGAATACAAGGATGCCGCCACCTAAGGAGGCTCATGCCGTACCACCTTCGCCCTCGGTATCTGCGATACAAGCCGCTATTTCGGGGAGGCCACGATATTCAGCATCGGATTCTTCAGTAGCTGGTGGTAGTGAGACGCCAAGGGTGAATGGGTACTCTTTTGTTGACGATGCTCCATCCCCCTCGCCATCCGAATTAGGATTGCCGCCGATGACATGGGGAACGGTCGATGATCTACTTCCCAGCGTTGAGGCCTCGCCGTCGCCGTTCAAGATTAACGAGCAACCGAAAAGGGAGAGGACATTACACAGGATGGTGGACAAAGTGGCCAAATCGAAACGGGCTTCTGCGAAAATGATGATGCCAGGAACGCCGGGAGGAAGCGTGGCAGGGACACCAGTGGGCACAGCAAGAAGGTTAAGGACCCTTGGGAATATGACGCCCGCTGCCAAGGGATTACTGGGAAAGATTGGAACGGGTAGGAGCGACAGTGTATTCGGTGGCACAGGAGGGAAGGACAAGACGGATTTGAGATATAGATGGGCACCGACTCCTAGAGCGGATCGAAAGGCGGATGCGACGCCGTTGATTAAGAGGAAGTAAAGAACGGGTGTTATATATATGATTGATGATTGTGGTGCATTGGGTTCTGGGAGTTTCACACGGTCTTTTGGAGGTGTTATCTTCTACATTTATTATATTTACTATCGTGCATGCATAGCGACTTGTATCATAGATATCTTCTCTTCTATCTTCCCTTCACGGTTTGAAGTTAATATTAATATCAAAACAGATGTCTAAAATGGGCTGGTCGAGGTCGGCCAGTCGGAGAATTTACTTAGCAAACCCATGCTCTTTGCCCCGCCAAACAAACTGCCCCGCCAAAACCCAGACTTTGAAAACTTCAACTATTAATTATCAAGCACCAAACCACCAACTATCAGCGACATCGACACTGGTATTGGCATCGGCAAAAATAACAGCGACGAATTTTAATACCGTTGAGCTAGGCCGATTTGAAAAATGACACAGCCAGAGTTAACCGCTGCGCCAGTTCTTTCTACAAACCCAGAGTACGAACCTGCCGCTGTCCAGGTAGAAACCAGCACCTTCTCACCCTCCGAAATCCGCACGATCTATGAGACAGATAGAACTGTAGATTGGATCCTATCCAACAATTACTCTCGGATAACATTACAATTCCCGGACGACCTGCTTCGGGATAGTACAGAAGTCGAAAAGACACTTCAAGATGGACTCAAGAAGGGTAGAAAGGCGGATTCGGTTGAAGATGGGATCGATGGCTTAAAAGTCGAGGATAACGATACAAAGGAGGAGAAGAAGATTTATATATTGGCTGATACTTCATATGGATCCTGCTGTGTCGATGAAGTCTCTGCTGAGCATGCCGAAGCCGATTGTATCGTACACTACGGACGGGCGTGTCTTTCACCGTATGCCTTCCATCTCAGAGATTATAATCCTCAGTACTAATGTAGATGATACAGAACCAACCGTCTACCGGTCCTCCACATCTTCACAACCTTACCTTTAGACCTCCAAGCCTTGATATCTTCCTTCATCTCCACCTTCCCCGATAAATCCACGCCGGTGGTATTAACATCGTCACTTCCATACTCCTCCCACATTCCAACGATATACGAAACCCTCACGTCCGAGGGTTATACATCCATCTTCGCCAGTTCAGTAATCCACAATCCGTCATCTCCAATTCCAAACCGAACATGTCCTTCCACAGACCTCATATCCACCTACCATATCCTACATATAGACCAACCACTCACATCCCTAATCCTTACGTTATCCACATTAACATCCTCCACATCCTTACAAATCTTCGACCCAAAGACAAATATCATCTCCTCGAGCGCCTCTAACCGACTCTTACTCCGTCGATATGCCTTATTATCCCACATCCGTGCAGCCGGTATCTTTGGGATCCTGATTAATACATTATCATCGAATAATTACCTCTCAACGATAAAGTCCCTACAAACCCTTCTGGCGAAACATTATAAAAAGAGTTATCTCGTTACCGTCGGGAAGTTAAACGCCGCAAAACTTGCGAATTTTGCGGAGGTGGAGGTGTGGATCGTGATAGGATGCTGGGAGTCCGCTGTTGTCGATGAGAGGCGGGAGATGTGGAGGGTTGTGGTTACACCCTGGGAAGCTACTGTTGCTTTGGATGGTGGGGAAGGGGTTGGTGTCGATGGGTGGAGGGGGGATTGGGAGGCCTTTAAGACGAAAATAGAGGATTATCAGGCTTTACAAGCTGAAAAGGAGGATGGGGAGAGTGGAGATGGAGGAGAAGGAGGAAGCGATGATGAAAGCGAAGAGCCGGTGTTTGATTTCAGAACTGGGCGATATATATCCACTGCGAAGCCTATGAAGGTTGTTAGGACGAGCCTTATTGAAGCTCCTTCTGGTTCGAATGGGGATAGTAGTAGCAGCACGGCTCTTACGACGACACAGAAGGATAAGAGTCTGTCGGTTATGATTAATAACCAGATTTCACCTGCGGCAGAGTATTTACAACAGAAGAGGGGGTGGAAGGGACTTGGTAGCGATTTTGCAGAGGTGGAGTACGATCAAGATGGGAATGAAGTGTGGAGGGGGGATGAAGGTGCTGTAGTTGAAGAAGGAAGGAAAGGAGTAGCAAGAGGTTATCACGTCCATGAGGGCGAGACAAGGACATAATTTTGAAGTCTTTTTCTAATTGCTCTATCAACAATCCCTTTCCCCCCTCTTTTTTTCAACCAGCCATCTCGATATGTCACCCCCTGGACCCTCATTCTACAATCATCCTCTTTTCCACCCCTTCTCAAATCCTCTTCCCACTGTCGAGTCGCCTTAAACCAATTTTTGCGCATTTCATCAGCGTTAGCGATTTTACTTCGAATGCCTCTAGGAGTAACCTAGCATTCGCAAGGACTACGGGAGGCTGTTGGTTCATTACTCTATCCAGGTCGTATTCGGATATACACTCGACGCAAAACTCATAACTATCGAAACTCACAACAGCATCTTCGAACGTCATCTCTCTTGTTTTAACACCGGTGGTGAATCCTCAAGTTCATAAAAATCAGGGGCGCAGAGCAGAGAATAACGGAATATGAAGGGGAGAAATTGTGAAAGATGAGAGGACTAAAAAAGCGAAATTTGTGAAATGACCTTGTCCGGGACCGATTTCGTTGGGGTTTTTGCAAATATAGAGGCTGAATAAGTTTTGAAAGTCGCTAGGAGTCCAAGATGCTTGGAATGGAGACGTTAATGGTGGTGATGGATGGCGGGTGGCGTGGATTATTGAGGAAAGGACGGTGGGGGGTACTGTTAATGGTGTCGAGGAAGCCGTAGGTAGAGTTTGGAGGTTTTGAGGAGTTATTGGTGTGCGTGGCGAGGATCAGGGATTTGATGTCCTGTCGGTATACGCGTGGCTCTCGGGTGTGTATAGATATGAAGGATCGTTTAGGGTTTATGATGTATAATAATATCGGTGCCTCTGTGGTCAGTGAAGTTATGCAGAAGACTGGTATCGCGCTGGCGCCTTTGTGGATCAAGTCTTCTTCACACTGTCGGATTTCTAGCTCGAGGTCGTAAGGCATCTTCTATTATATCTGAGTACAGACTAAATGACTTGACACAGTCTCCTATAGTACATATGATTTATATCTTAATACAAACTCGCGATTATAAATCAGTGCAATGATCAATTTCAATAGCTATAATAAGGTGTATAAATTAAATTAATATAAAGGAGGTATAAGCTAAAGGCTATGATGATCATCAACAACTAGGTTAAAATACTTAAAACGTTAAAGCTGGTACCAATTCAATGTATGGCTTCTTAAGCTTTAATTAAGTATTCACTCGTCGAGCTACGATTTAAATTTATCAGCTTGACCAAAGACTGTATATTCTGGATAACTTCTTAATCTACATGTAATTTTACATAAGTCATTGCCAGAAATATCAATGTTAATATATTAAAATTCGAGATCGCGCGCGTCGATATCGCTATTAAAAAACCCACAAGTGCAACGCAAAGAAACCAGTCCGTAAGATAGTAGAACCCGCCAGCAATTACAATTACTAGTACTATAGTGGTCGTTAAATTTTTACTGTAGCTAGTATATGTTAATAAGCTAGTAATAGCTGTATCTCCAAAGTTTGTGATCGATCTAGTAATATACTATATTACTTCATGCATCGAGACATATGCATATGTGCCTCAAGTACATGCTGAGAAACAGCTGCAGAGCCATGAGGTTGATTATATTATGAACAACCCTCATCATGTATACTAAGGCTAGAATACAATAACTGTTGGTCGTAGACGTAAGAAAGTGGTGACTTAAAAGTGTATCCGAATAAAAGAGCACTATATTTCACCAATGGGGTATAATCTCTGCAACCTCGAAGGTTTTATAAACACCCGCCGGCAGCTCCCTCAAACTCACAAAAACTTCGACAATTAGATAAGCTCTTGCTACCACATATAACAAAATGAAAGGAAATAATATCGCCACTTCCCAGAACACTATGGGCTTTGCCTTCTTCATCTCCTCTTCGAAAGCGTCCATTCGTAATATGGTGTCCTGCCGTACCACGCCTCCAGTCTTAGGCGCACGTTCTACATCACTACCCGTTTCACCATCTTGACTAGTGGCCGTCGGCGTCGTTTCATCGGCTGGCTTCTTCTTCAATCGTAGCCATATCAAGTACTTATCCCATCTCCCGAACCTCTGTCGAGCGGCGATGGTTTCGAATACCCAGAAAAATACTGTCGCACCGGTCACGACCACACTTGACCACCGCCATAGTTGCGTCTCGACCCGACTAGGGAAAGTGAAATTCCATCCGATGAGATGAAATGAAGCATACGCCGTTGTAATAAGGAATAGGGCAATCTTCTCGAAGGTAGCGATATCTGGGAATCTATCGTTCGGAAACCGTCGTAATGGTCTTTCTGGATCATCGCATCGTAAATTAAAAAATCCCATCATGTTGAATCCACATGTTGGTGACTCTCGAGAAACGAAGTCCAGCGGCGTGTGGACATACGGTTGGGCCGCTATGGGTCCCGCATCGAGTAGGATCTGTGCGGTCGTAAATCTTGTAGTAACGGTTACACCGCTCTTAGCGTCGCTCGGCTTATGTAGCCAGCAGATAAATGTTCCGAATGAGCATAGAACAATTGCACCGGCGGATAGTTCCAGGGTTGTGGTAGGAAGCTTCAGCACTGCCCTTCCTCCCAGTTGAAAGAGGAGCCAGGTTGCTTGGGCTGCTGTGATTAGTTTGCTGAGAGAGTCTGCCTTCGACCTATCCCATATCTCCTCCTCGGTAATAGTAGGGCATTGGATATACTCTCGCTCAACCAAATACGCCATTTGTCGGCTATTAACCAAGAATGGAGTACTATCTTTCGGTTGTAGTAAGAATCCACCCATGTCCGCAAAGAAGCCGTGTCGTATAGTCCATCCTTCGCACTCTAGTTTCTTAAATCGCCTTACTGACCGCCTGGCAGACGCATATTGGCCCATGGCTATGGAAAGTACGATTTCCGGTGCTATGACGGCCCAGAACATCCATTTCGTTTTCCGTAGGAGGATGTGTAATGTTCTGTCTTTCGGATGGGGGATGTTAAGGCAGATTGCTGTCCAAGTGCACAGGAATATCGCCATAAACGAAGACCAGATTATATCCCAGGAGCCTCTAACATCTGGGCCTGAAACCCAACCGTGGACTAGCACGGTTGCAGTTGTGGCATTCTGAGATGTACCGTTCAAGGGTAGTGCTGTTTCGTTCATGGTTACTACTATGGCTACAGAATCTGCCTTGTGGGATCAAATCCCTATGCTATAGAAGAAATGTCTATGGAGGAGAATGATATTGAAAAAATGCCTTGACCGAATCCATACCTTAGGGTCCTAAAAGCCGGGTCTAGTCTATTATATTTATGACTAGCTGGCTATAGGCCTGAGCCTTACGGGAAGTCTAACCATATTCCAGCTGACAAGGTGGAGGGGGGCATCCCTGAAGAGAACTCCATAGATCCATTTTGGATTCGAGCCCTGTATTCCCCGCTCCTAATACTCTATCGGTATCAATCTTATCATGCAAGTGAATGAATATAATTGGTGAAGCCCTCCCGTTTCTATGTATAGAGACTCTTGAGAAGGCAGCAGAATTTGTCCCGTGCTCAGCCTATCCTTTCGAAGCAGAAATTTAAACGGCTCTGTTCTATGCATATTGTAAATGCATGGTGGACGTTAATATTAGAATATCGAATGACACTCTTTGATATGCGGGAATGTGGCACAACACGGCGAAACGGGCGGGGATGTTGCAAGTTGAAGCTCGCAAATGTGATATCGATCATGATCATGGGAACGATTCGTATCTGTACACGGCCTGTTTGTATTTAGTATAGAGAATTCGAATATTTTCTTACTTTTTCTTGAAAAGGATTTCTTTAGTCAAACTTGCTATAGAACGTAATCGCTTATATAAATTTGTATAGGAATTCACCAGGGCTAAATCTTTGTTCTCTGTCATTCATGATGTAGATTATATCGATATTGAAATTGGATCCTGTCGTATGCACACCAGTCGCCGTCTTAATTAACCATCCTTGTAACTGCCGCCAACCAGTAAAAACCCGGCGCTTCCAGGTACAATTGGCAAGCGCATGAATTCATGACAATAGACTGGCCAAGATCAAGATGCATCGATGCATCTCATCCTTTAAAAGGCGTCTAAGATGCCCATTGTTGTATAATGCCTACCGACATCCCAAGGTGTAGCACACCAGCTCTCGAATCCCAACCTCCCTCAACCGATCCAAACATGGTGAAAGACGCAACCATAACCGTCGTGCCAGCATCACCGGCTGCCACAAGCAGCGAGCCAGCCTCACCAACCAGCACCCACAAACTGGTAGGCGAAAATTCATACTGGCCCCTCATCGGGACCAAAGACACGATACCGACATGGCTGCGCGATAACGATTTCATAGTAACCGGGCATCCGATGCCTACATATTCATACATCAAATCCTTCCGACTCTGGCGATGCCTACACATGGAAACAATGAATATCTACACCCATCTTATCGGGTCCATCGGGTTTTTCGCCACCGGGATTGCGCTTTATAATACTGCAAAGTCGACGTCGTTGTTGACTTGGACTGCAGGCGATACCTTCGCTTTTGGAATATCTATTACTGCTGCGACGTTGTGTTTTGCATTAAGCACGACGTTTCATACACTCCGCAGCCATTCATATCATATCCACCACTTCTGGGGCCGGATGGATATTTTTGGGATCTGTATTTTAGCACTGGGTGGCGGTGCGTCTGCGAATTATTACGCTATGTACTCCAATCCCAAAGTTCAAAGAATATACTGGGGTATAAACGCCGGATCTGCATTGATAGCGGCAATAACTCTCTTCGATACCGGTGGCGGTGGCACAAAAATGCGTGCCCTTCGCGGTGGAACTTTTAGTATCCTCGCTATCTCGGCCATGTTACCGATCTTCCAAGCGATAGGAACATTGGGGTGGGATAGAGCATGCACAGAAATTGGAGCTCAGTGGTATCTTGCGGAAGGAATAAGCTTGTTAGTTGGAGTTTCTTTATTTGTAGGAAGAATGCCGGAGAGGTTTTGGCCTGGGAAGTTCGATGTTTGGGGACATTCGCATCAGTTGTTCCATACTTTCGCCGTGGCGGGGACGGGATTCCATGTTGCGGCTTTAGTGGCTGGGTATAATTATCGACAGGGGGCGAGGTAGTCTAGACGTCTATCTCATGTCTCATATATTTTATTATAGCCTCGGACTTCAGAGTTTCGCTATGATATACGTATATATTATATACTTGGTCAGTCAATTTGGCACAGCGCACGTTAGCTATAGCCAGGCAAGCCGCAGCTCAGAGCGTAGCATAACCGCCCTAGAAGCCTTGTTACACTCGATTTAATAGTTATTTTACGATTTATGTTAAAGTTGACTAATTAAATTACAAACTGGGAGGTTCAAGTGAGCTTCACAAGATAAATTATAAATCGCACTCCAATCTATAACTTAGAATTAAGCCCCATCTGTATGCTCTAGAACGAATCCTCATATTATTCATTCGTTTAGAAGCTAGAAGCATATTGGCTACAGATCATGATCAATCAATTGTCCAATTATATTCAAGGCCAAGCAAGGATCCGTCATGTTGCGGTGTTGTAATTTCAATAGATGCAAGCTAGCTAGAGAACTTGCCCCAGACATATTTGTAGCCCGCTGAAGCTAGATCATATCAATCGATCGATATCAATATAAGGTATCCATTGATATCAAAATCTAATTATGTCAAATGTCAAGCTGAAGCCACTGGTGTCCCATATTCCTGTCGAAATATGGCACTCAATTTACACTTATCTCGACCGAGAAGGACTCTCTGATATCTCATCATGTTCCAAATTCTTCCGACAAACGGCTGTTCAATTGTTATTCCGACGGGTTAGACTTACGGAGGAGGCTATCGAAGGGTTTGGGAGGAATGGGAGTCTTGGGTACTTGGCAGGTGGTGTTCGGTATGTAAACATCCTTCTTTACTCTCTTCTCTTCTTTTATTGTAATCGTGAATATTATATTATATCATATTGTATTAAAGGCCAATCTGGGTTCAAAAGGCTGACCGTGATATGATTAATATAATCTATTTGCATGCACAGTGACATCTTCTTCTCGAGTCCAATTGCATACGACCCCGAAAACCTAAGAATCTTCGACATCCCAAGCTACATCTGCTTCAACCTCAGTATCTTCCCAAACATCAAAGGCGTGCATATCTCCTACCTATCAAATGAATCATACTACTGGATATTCCCCATTGCAATCCTAAGGGCGATATCGAGCTATCCATGGTTTAAACCCCTTCAGAGATTATCAATAAAGGGAGTCGGTGTACACCCTAATACCCGCATGTTCCCTGAACCCCAACTAGATCTATTCACTCTCCCAATAAACCCCGATATCATATATTTTGCTACCGGGGGGCAGCAAATCGAGCTGATCAAATTTGACAAAACGGTGCCTTTCCCTCCTTCCCTGAAAGAGTTATCGATATACTACGTCCTCAGACCGAACTTCTCAAGATGTTATACCAGATATCAGGCTCGAGGTCTAGTGAATCACGATAAGTCGCCATGTTTAAACCCGCCGATATTATACCCGCATTGGATTAATAACAATACTTTAACCAATTTAACATTTCGAACAAAGGATTTAGATCTCTGGCCTGGTGCTCAACCCATATACCCCACGATAAAGTATTTACATATCATAACTGAGGGTTGTAGTTGGAAGGATCTGGGACGAATTGCTATTCGAATGCCCAATGTGGAGGAATTTAGGTTGGAGACTGTGGTGTTTGTGGTATTACCACATGGTTATAGATTTTTATCTGGGTTTTCGAAGTTAAAGAGGGCGAGAGTACCGTGGAGAACTGCTTTTAGAGGTGAGCTGAGCGAGGAGAAGAAGAAGAGGTACTTGGGACCGGCTGTTGAAGTGGCAGCTTTGAGAAGAGAGGTTTGTGAGTTGGTCTCTGGGGTGGTGGAGGATGGGGGTTCGGAGAATGTTCAGATTGGGGGGTTGAGGGAATTGGAATATGTCGAGTTTGTGAGGGGGTATCAGAAGATACCGTTTAAACACCACTTTGATTTTGGGGAGATACCGTATGAAAACTTTGGAGAGGGGATTTGTAGGGTTTGGAGGGATGGGGAGAGGTGGGATGCTAAGTTGAGGGGTGTCTGGAGGCGGTTCCCAGGAGTATACGAGGAAGAGTGGGAGGGCTATGGAGGGTAAGGAGGAGAGCAAAGATTGATCGAAATATCCCTTTGATTAGCCTTTGACACCCACTAATTTACACAAGTATGCATGCATATCGCTTTTTATCGTACATATTATATCCTCTCTGTCATTTCCTGCACCTGGTCTTGAGGCCGCTAGGTCATGATATCGTGCAGGTGGTATTGGAGCTGATTTAGTCGAGTCCACTAAACAGTGACTTCTTAGGGCCAACCCCCTGATGTTTGTTCTTTCGCTTCTTCTTTCGACGCTGGCTACTCTTCGAGCCACTAGGTTCGTCGCTATCATCGGAATCGGATTGCAATTTCCTGCCTTTCGACTTTGCTGCAGGTTTGTCAGAGTCATCAGAATCGCTATCCGAGTCATCGTCACTGTCGTCCTGTTTCTTCTCTTCCTTATCATCTTTATCATCTGTATCATCTTCATCCTCCTTCGCGACTCTAAAGTCTTGATACCAAATCTTCACCACACTTCCACCGGCTGTCATCATGGCTCCATCACAGTCAAATTTTATCGCTGTGACCCCATCCTCCTCTGCATCCTCCCCAACCGCGTGCTCAAACACCCTAACCACTTTATTCCCACCCAACCTTACAACCTTCACCGTCCCATCTCCACATCCAGCGACAATACACCTTCCCTTTGTAACTTCCATATCACCTTCTTGTACATACTCCTCCACGCAATCTACATCATCCCCCTTCCCTCCAATCTTAATCCTCTCACACATATCACCCCAAACCCCACGTTCGAAGGCATGGATGATACCATCACCCATACCAACATATGCACGAGTAGACCTTCCACCTTTCCCAACACCAGAAACGACACATGATGTTAATGTTTCGTTTTCTTGACCATCAGATTTTTGGATGAGACCCTTTCGAACGTCCAGGTAGGATAATGTTGAGTCACCAGTTGCGACGAATTGTTTGGGTAGGTTTGAGGTGCTCTCGGAGGTTGGTGGGAGTGATGAAATGGAGGAGATGTAATCATCGTGAATGGACGACCATGTTGTAGCTGGCTTTGAAGGGAGGGAGGTTCGAGTGTCATACAGGTGGATCGTGCCGGAATCAGTGCCAAGTAGGAGATGATGGGGGTTTAATGGGTGAATGTGAGTCGGAGAGTCCGACGAGTCCGAGGAAGGGACGAGGGCCTTCGAGATGACTTGTCCTGTGCTGGTGGAAGCACATTTTATTAACGAGTCGGTGCCGACTGTGTATAGAACTATATTGAATCTTGATGTTAACATATCGTCACTTCTTTTTCAACGACCAAGTTCCTGACGACAAGGCGCGTCAGAAAGCTGCAATTGAATCAAGAAGAAAGAAAAAAAGAAGGGAATACCTTGGCCATCATTACTGTAAGCTGCACTGCGACAGCTACCCTTGTGACGTCGAGTTTTCCATGCGACTTTGTAGCCACCGGGGAGACCATCTTCAGCTTCGGCTTCATCGTCCGATGGGACTTCTTTGGGCCATGTGTAAGTGTATACGTGACCTGACAGGAGTCCCGCTGTAAATAGTGGCTCGGAAGGGTGTGTCGCTAAAGTGAAGACTGGAGATTGGAAGGGTATTGAGTGGGATTTGAAGTCCTCCATCTTGTTTCGTCTGATGTCTAGATTAGTGGATGTGAGGGTTTTCGCGAAGAGGTTTTTTTTTCTGATGTCACTTTTTTTTTTTTTT